GCGCGCGCCAGATACTGCCACAAAGGATCCCTGTGCTAATTAGCCCCCCATGGAACTGGGTGTTTTTGCCACACTCCAAAAATGTATGTGCAAATGAGGCACAGGGCTGCCTGGTCTGTATCCACCCCACAGAGGGTAGGACCACTTTAATCACATGTGACAGGTTAACAGAGGGGGTGCCAGAGTCTTTCAGCTACATACAAGTTTGGTGTTGTTTGCCAGACATTTAAAGAATGAAAGAAAGGCACTGCTTAACTGTGGGAGTGTAGAAACAGGAATAATTGGAAGCATTGGTGACACGTAGGGGGTGCACACAGGTGCGTGTGCACCCCCTGAGATTGGCTGTGCACCCCCCACAAGTCATTGATAGGCTGCTGGTGCTCCCCCAGTATTAGGAGGCACCAGTTACTACTTCCAATTATTGGAAGGAACAGGAGTAATTGGAAATGGGAAAGAAAGGCACTGCTCAACTGTGGGAGTGAAGAGGAAGTCAAAATGTATTTGATGTAGTGGTTCATCATGACTTGAAAAAGAGTTGGCACTGAGGAGAGCAGAGCACAGCTGGCACTATATCTTTTTCAGATGGGCTGCATTCAGGAGAGGGTGTCAGAGCTGTAGCTCCAGGCCCAGTGCTCATTATATCCTGGAGGAGCAATTGCCTGTTTTTTTTTAAGGGGGACACAAAAAAGGTCCTATCAGTATGTTGTCCCAATGTGGGCCAGGTGTTTTGTGGGCATGTTCATCATGGGCTGCATGCAGTCAGTTTCATAGTTGATTTCCATGACTAAGCACATGCTGCTTTTGGCAGAAGTTTAATGATAGACAATGTATATAATGGGTGGAGGTGGTGCATTGAGGGGAAGGGGATTGCTGGAATGCAAATATAAGATGAGGGGCTTTTTTCCCATCCTGATTGGGGGAAGCAGAACCTCATCTTGTATTTCAGTAAATATGGTATATGCAATAGCTTTTTATTTAAAATAACATATATTCTTCATTTTTAATTACACTACACTAATAATATTCCTGAAAAAAATATATTCTTAGACAAGAATAAAAAATTGCAGTAGCTAGAAATAATATACCTTATTCAGTACTTGACTTAAATCTGTATTCCAGTCCTGTCAGAGCCATATTTTCAGACCAACCTCAAAGTTAGTACTTTCTAATTTAGCAGATGCATCTGTATGTGTGCTGTAGAAAACCTATGTCTGTGCTCACAAATTGGACAGCGAAGAAAGGAAAAAAGATTTCTGTTTGTGGAAGCAGGTACTAATACCTAGTTTGCATTTACCAGCTTAAAGGTTTATTTGGTGATCAGATTTTTGACACAACTTATTTCCTTTTATTTTAGGATGTATAAGCCAGAAAAACCTTTATCTTCCCTTTCCGAGTTGTTTAATTAACTCTACTGTTTGCTTTAGGTAAAATTGTTATTTCAGAATGCCTGACTTGTTTAAAAAGACAGAAAATAATATACATGAAAGGTTACTAATGAGACATATCGTAATTTAGCCTAATGGTACAGCTTCATTAGTAGAAGCCTGACAGTTTCATGCGTCTTTTCCTATAGATGGCAAATGTTTAACCCGAAAGGTAATGTATATTTATAAACTGAATTAAGATGATGTGATAGCACAGTAGAATTCCTCCAAAACAGACATGCATGTATATGAATAACATCTGAGAAAAGTTTATAGTTGTTTATTTCACAGACGAGGTTTTATGATAGTTCAAACATTTTCTTTAAACCATATTTTTGCTTAACATTTTTGTTGTTCTTAAACATTGATTTTTTTTTTTATACAACTATAAGAGAAAGTATCAGTGATAAAATTTCCACCAATAAAAGAATACTTTGTTCAGTCTTCAGTGGTGGGAAGTTAGTATTCCTGTCGATTAGCATTTGTGTGGCATGGTGTGTGACTTGGGGCCCTGTGTCTCCTGGCCACTTAGAAGTTGGACAGCCTTGAAGTAAATGATCATTGCACACACAGTGGTTTTATTCAGAATTGTTGTTAGTTTCTGATACATTCTGGTATGTTTTTATTTTGATTGATACTAATTCAGGGGGAAAATTGTTTTGACATCACAGTAAAGATTTAATTTGTTAGCCTCAACCTTCAAAAATAAAAAAAAGACCTTAGATACTGAGACAGACTGCAAAGAGATAATCCCACACATTTATCAAATATTATTCTGCAGTTGGATAATACATACATTCAGAGATATCAAAACCAGGCAATGCTTTATGAACATTAAAACCTTGGAAATGGAAAGTTATTGTCATTATCTAACAAAATTTCTTTCAGATAGAGCATGGAGTAAGCCTCAGGCATATTTGCCTTTTGTCCAATACGTTCTTGCAAACTCCATTATTTTAGAAAACAGAACACTGAATACATTGCTCTTTGTTTTCTTGTTGCCAAGTTTTGCTAACTACGATAATGCTTAAATCTTTCAGCATCAGGTACAATGCACTTTTCACATGTGGAAGCATGCTGACTTGGATACCATTTAGAGAATAATTTTCTAAACAATGAAACTGCATGGAGTTGGTGTATAGAAGCTGTAGGAATGTCATGTAAAATTTTGAAGTGGCTGAAGCAAATCAAAGATGCTGATGATAGGATTATAGCTTGTCAGGAATTGTTTTTAACAAAAGTTTTTCTGTTGGGAAATGATTAGCATTTGATCAGAGGTTGAAGTGAGACTGAGAAAGAGAGAGAAAGAGCGATCTCAGAATAGCCAATACCACAGGGGCAAGTGCACTCACCTAGAATGTGGAAAACCCAGGTTTCAGTCCCTGTCCTGCCTCATTTAAAATAAGACTTAAACTAGGTCTTCTGTATCTTGGATGAATGCTGTAGCTATGGGCCTATCCAACTGGATTTTTGCTCTCTGGGCTAATGAATGTTTAATTATTTATATAGACTGGAAACAGAGAGTTTGGCAGAGAGAATGGCTCAATATCCCAGTGGATTAGGGCACTCACTGAATATGTGCCAGTCAGAGATTCAAATCCTTGATCTGTCTGATTGCTGGGATATAAAACTGTCAACTGTCAAATATTATATTTGGAATGAAGGAAAAATCTTCAGTAGAAAGGCTATACAGCATTAAAAGAAAAAAAAAGATGAATTTTACTTCTAAATACCAACTCTGTGCCTGGGAACAGAGATTTGTCAGTTTCTATGGTCACCTGACAAATCACAATAAATTTTAAGCAACATAGCTGGAGTCCTGCAAAGAAGGTTCTTAAGACTTAAACGTATTCTCCAGGGAAGCGTCAGTTTCACTGTAGCAAGACTTAATGTGCTGCATTACCTCTTCACAGACAGGGTAGTTCTCTTTTTTCTACCTTATGTATAGCTGCAGGGGATAATTTTCTTATGAAAGTACTGTACCCTCTGAGCAATTAGGAAACATTACATCCAGTAACAGTATCATCACTGCATGTATATATGCAGGTGTTACCATCATTTTTAGAACAAAACTTCACACTCTGAACAATTAAAATATCATTCTTTAGCTAATAAAGACTCTCTTTACATGTGAGATAGTACCAGGCTACGGAGATCCTGGGATCAATCACTGGAGGGTATCATGTAAATGAATATTTTAGGAAGCGAGTTTCATGTGAACTGGAAACTGGGTTCCACTGCAGCTTATCCTATAGTTTTATGGTTGATGGAACCAGGACAAGATGCTCTACTTGAACCATAGTCTCAATAGGTGCCAGAATCCACAGAAAACTGCTGATGTTCAGATTCACTCTGCAGGTGCAGCGCAGGATAGAAGTGTGGCACAGGTTAGGAGATGGATGGGAGAGATGAGCAAAGGGAGGACAGAAGAGGTCCCCAAGGAACAAACAAGTTAAAGTAGGAGGTTTAAGTTAAGGGTCACTCTGGTGATCTGGATCAAAAGGCTGGGAATCTTAAGATTGAGGAGGAAATGAGAAATCACAATAGGTTCATAAGCAAGACTGGCGTTGAACATTTTAGAGGTATACAGAGGAATGATAAGGGTATAGTACAATACTAGTACACAAACTAAAATAAGATTTAATATGCATCATAGAGACAAGGCAGGGTAAATCACAGGGCTAGAATATGAGGACAGAAGTGTGCAACCTGTTCAGGGAAGGTACACAAGGGATAAAGGGAGGAGGTGTTGCATTGTTCATCAGAAATCCAAAAAGGAGATGAGAAGCAGACCTGTTGACCCTCTCTGGGTGAAGAAAAGGGGGAAAGACCTCTATTTTTGTAGGGGTCTAGTATAAATCACC